TTCTATTCATCTCCCAAGCGCACCCAGGTGAAAAGACTCCTCGTTCTTCCTTGTCCTCATCGTCCCTCCTCCTCGTCCTCGTCCCTCGTCACTTCTCCTCCTCCTCCGCGTCCCATCTCCTTGTCCCTCCTCCCTCCTCCTCGCCGCTTTTCAGGGGGGCGCGCCGCCACAGGGGTGGTCTGGGGTGGTCCGGGGCAACATTGGTTTAGGCCGGGCTGTGTTGCGTAGGCACACGGAGCCCCCCGATTATGGGGGTGCGCTGTCCGCTGCTCTCAGCCTGCTGGCGGCTCCGAGCGACGACGACGCATAGCCTTCCTCGTCCTTCTCCTCCGTTTTTCTGCCTCCTTCCTCTTTTGTCTCCCTTCCCTCCCTCGTCTTCCCAGAAATACAAGGTCGTGATGGTTTGAGGCGCGGTGCCCAGTCCGAGGTGCCCTGGCGGGATAGCGCCCCCCGCTTGAGAGCTGCAAGAAATATTCCTCCGATGGGCGCCGCGCCCGCGCCAGAGTTTTCATCAGCTGCCCTTCCCGCCCGGGCATTTATTTTGGTGTGCGTTCCTCTCTCCCTTTGCCCCCCCTTTCTGCTTTTTCTCCCGCTCCGTGCCTCCCCAAGCGGTCGCGCGCGCGCCTAACGGCGGGGGTCGGTGGCTCACGTCCCACGGCCGCGCGCCCGCTTCCTCCTCGTTCCGGTTCCTCTCCCTTCCTCCTCCCCCCTTGTCCCCCGTTCGGGGTATCCCCCGTGATCGTCAGGCGTCCTTGCCTGCGCTCGGCGTTTCCACCCCCCGTTCCCCCTTGCTTTTGGCTGGGGCGGTGGGGCCGGACAAGTGGTGTACAGCCAAGGACATGATTCCCCGGTGGGCGTGGGCGAGAGCCATGCACCCTGCTGCGTCACCGTTGCCCGTGCTTCCGAAAATGATAGAAAATGACGTCGCAAATTTATTCGCGAGCGGTTCCACAGGTTCGCCCCTGAGTTCGCGCTGGACGGAGCGACGCCGTCGGTAGATGTTGTCGTTCTGGCGTTTGTGAACCACTCCGTGGTGAGCAGCGAGTGTTCGGTCGACGCCGCAACTGTTTTGGCGCGCGGCCACCGATTCGTTAATGCTGCAAGCAGTCCTTGCTGGGCGGCTTGGGCTGCGGCGATGTATGAGGTGCACGTTGAGGGCTATTTGGAGTTATGGCGGCGCGGTCGAGATATTGAAATGATGTGCGGCGCCAATATGATACGACCTCGGGCGTGCCCGGCTTCGCAAGGCGGGAAGTGTTGCGGGGCGTTCGACGTAGGGGTTTCGCTGTGAGCAGAGCTCTCGAGCCGCGATGACAGATGTATATGTATATATATGTGTGTATATATACATATATGTATATATACATATATATATATGTGTATAGACATGTAGGGATCTGCGTGGTTGGTCTAATTTGGCCTCCCAGGTGGGCGCACAGTGCAGTCAACCCGCATTGAGAGAATGAGTAACTTTCCAAGGGTACACGTTGTTTGAAAGTAGGTACAGTAGGACTCCCAAGACCCAATCTATTTGTTGCGCCTCCCTATTTGACGAACCGATATGTTTTTGTTCGATGTGTTGTTATTCTCTGGCAGGGCCTGAACCCAACCTACTTCACCCTCCGTCCCACTTAATGGTTTTACCTACTTCTTCCGACGTGTACCCTTGCATCCTTGCCCTTCGGTTCATTGTTGGCCGCTTTCGCTGGCCGCGCCCCGCTCGCACAGTGTCGGCACGGCCTTCCAAGGCCTGGCATCCTTGCCGCGCATCCTCACTTTTCGGGTTGACTGTAGATGGGGTCGGAGGATGCACCGCATCGCCGATGCATCGGCCATGCGGGGTGATGCGGAGCCCAATTTTCTCCACGTCGACGCCGCCCATGCTTCGCCGACGTCGCCGATGCATCAATGGTGCATCGGCGATGCAGCGCGATGCTCCGATCCCATTTGATTGCTTCGACCCCATCTGCGAGGTCTCCTACTCAGGGGTTCGCGTTTCGAGGTTCGAGCGTTCGTTGGTTATCGGCGGTCGTCCAGCCTCGGGATGCTCTCTGGCAGCTGCGCCTCGCCGCAAGAGTCTCAGGGGTGCCCAGATCGTCCCGAATGGCTGCCGGAGAACAGAGCTATGACCCGGAAGCCAGGGGGGCAACGTTAGGGGGGGGATCGGCGCAGGGGAGGATGCAGCATCCATCGCCTCCCAATCGCCCAGTGATCGCCGATAAGGGCCTGACAACACGATTTCGATATCGTGGGCTATCGGGACCGCACCGATAACTCCAAGGGCTGTCAGCAATGGTGAGCTTCATCTGCAGACCATACAATGGCATATTATGGGCTTCAGACGCATACGCAGATCAGCATTCCTGGAAGAGTGCCCCGCCTGGACTGGAGAGCAAGAAGGAATCACAAGCAACACCGAACTGGTAGACTACCTCTCTCATCATCTGCCCCCGCCTTCCCTGCCAATCTGATCCTTGCGGGATGTTCCTCCTCGCCGGCCTCCTCCCCCTCTCGATCAGTGCATGCCGTCTCTCATCCTCCTCCTCTTCTCATTGTCTCCCTTCTCCTCCCCATTGGTCTCTGCCGTTGCTTCCTCCAATGTATCAGCCGCATCTTCTTCTCCATTCACTTAATTTTAGGCGCTTGAGGTTTCGTCTGCCCGCGTGAGACGACTGAATCAGAGGCGATCGCTTTCAGCCCTCGGCGCCCGCCATGGCGCCGTCTCGTCGTCGCGCTGGCTGGTCTGCTGGCTCTCCTCCTTGGCGCGACGGGGGCTCTGACGGCTACTGGAAGTGCGGGCGCTGCGGCTGCGGCGGGAACCTTGGTCGGCACTGGTTCTGCAAGCGGTGCCACGGCAAGCGGAAGGAGGTCGAGGCTGCCAGCCCGCCGCAGCCCCGAGGTGCATGGGCTGGCGATTGGGAGCGCGAGCTCTCGCACGAGGAGCCGACCGCTGAGGCTGAGGTCATCCCTGTCGGCCTCCAGGGCAGAGGCGCCCCTCCGCCAGTCACTGGGGACCAGGACAAGCTCTCCGATGAGGAGCTCGGCCAGCTCATCAGTCTCAACAGGAAGATGGGAAATGAGGCCTCGGCCTCAGCTCTCCAGCTTCGTCTTGAGAAGCGTCGCGTCGGCGACCCCCCAGTCCCCCTTTAGACCCAGCCCAGTTCATATCAAGCAGTTGGAGAAGAAACTTCAGCGTGGCTCGGATCAGCATACTAACTTGTCCAATTGGCTCTCCGATAAGAGAGAGTCTATCGGAGCTGTACGTCGAGAGCTGGCAGGTGAGATGCAGAAGTACCAGGCTCTGGTGGATCAACTTCGTGCACAAGCCTGCCCCGCCCCCGCCGCCCCGCCCAAGGCGCGCATTGCGCTCCAGGACCTATTTGATGGCCAGCGACATCCTGGACATGGGCAGTGTTGAAGGGGTCCTCGGCGTGGACAGTTCGGCATGCGAGGTGCAGGAACCGGGCTCCCAGGAGTTGGAGAAGAGGACCGCCCAGCTCAAGGATTCGATTCGGTCGGCCGATCGCCAGCTGTTCGGCGAGGCTCAGCGGCACTTCCAGCAGCTCAAGGACGACCGCGCCGAGCATATCCAGAGGATGGGCAAGACGCGCAAGGTCGGCGTGTCTGGCGAGGCGGCCGCGGCTTCTCCTGAAGGCGCAGAGGGGTTTCAAGCAGGCAGCTCAGGAACCTGCTGGCGACGGAGGAGTAGCTCCTGATGCAGGGGCTTCTGCATCGTCTTCGGGCGCACCGTCTGCTGCGTCGTCGGCGGCGCAGTTGCTCGCGAGCGCTGACGAGCTCCTTGGTCCATTATCAGCCCCCCCCCCCTGCCACCGCGTGGCCGACAGGAGGGGGCATCGCGAACACGGCCGCGGCAGTCATGACAGGGCTGCCTTTCCCTCATCCCCGCTGGAGCCCGACGAGGTTTCGAGATTGGTTTGGTATGGGACGTCTGGGTCTGCTTGGTCATCGGCGGCGGCTTCAGGCACCCCCTTGTGAGGGCCAGCGCGGTTCGTGCTCGCCCGGCCTTGTGGCCCCTGCCACTTCTGTTTTCACGGCTCTCGATGGGGGCCACCGCATGTTCTAGGTTGCCCACGGAGGGCGGCTTGCCTTCGGACCCTTCTAAGTGTTTGTCGGTGCCCCCCCTGCCCTGATTGCACGTTTCAGTTGTCGATCGAAACGGTGAATTGCACGAGTTGGCCCCCCAATGAGTCACGGCTAGGAACCGCGACTTCACGTCGTGCTCGCGCAGGAACACCTCGCATCGAACGACGACGTCGCCAAGGCAGGACAATTGGCACTACAGCGGAAGGTGTTTGTTTCTTGGCCGCGCCTGGACCTGTCAGATGTGCCGTACATTGCGTATCCTCGTCCTCCCCGTCTTGGGGCTGAGGCTCCCGAGGGGACGCATGTCTGGGTGTGGGTCAAATCGTTTTGGAGGTGCAATCGTTGTGTCAGACTTCGACGGCAGGCAACGCGCCCCTCTGATGAGGGCTGTACTGGTCATTTGCCCCCCATTGCTCGTTCGGTGTCTGATCGAGGCCACTCCTGCCTAGCCCTGGAGTGCGAGAGTGATCATATATTAATGGTATGAACCCGCTGCACAGCGTTTTCGGCCCGTGGGCAATTTAAACTGCGCCGCAGAGAGTGCACACGTCCACTCGCAAAGGCAGCGGAGTATTGGTCCAGGGTAAAGCGGGGCTGGCATCCGAAGGAGCGTCTTCGGGTGGTGTCGGTCCCCATCAGAGAGTGAGAGTGAGTTGCTCGATCAGGGCGTTCGTCGAAACCTCCCAGTTCACTTCCTTCCTCATCCACCTCTGTGTCAGCCCCCTCAACCCCGCTCAATTCTTCATTCATGTTCCACCCTCCTTTGTTTATCCCTCCTTCCACTCTTGCTCGTTATTCCTTCACCTCCTTCATTCCATTCCTCTTCCCTCCTCCTCCTCTTCCTTGTCTTCACCTCCTCTTTTTCATCATCCTCGCCCGTCGCTCCCTGAGCCCAGGCCGATGCAGCACCCGCGGTGCGTAGCGCGGCTTCGCCGTCGCTGGACATGGGGGTTGGTGGGGGGGCAGCAGGCAGCAACAGAAGCGGGAGGACGACGGCGCGGGCGGTGCGGGGGGGAAGGCGGGGGGGCGGGGGGGGAGGCGGCCGACGGGGTGCAGGGGGAGCGGGCGGAGGGCCGGGAAGAGGGGGTGTGAAGCGGAGGGTAACGAGGAGGGGAAGCACATGGAGTTAAAGGAGGGGTGGGTAAGCAGGAGGAGGAGAAGACAAAAAAACATAACACGGAGAAGGAGGAGGAGGAGGAGGAGGAGGAGGAGGAGAAAAACCAGTGTAAACCCAAGGGTCATCAACGATGGTGGAATCAACCCTCCTTCCGAGTTCCCTCTTCACAGGCTCCTAAAACGGCTCATCTCCACTGAGGGAAATACCCCGTCGGAAAATAATCGTTTGAAGATTTTGAGGCATGCCGAAACATTGTATTCGGGATTCCAACGCCACGGGCCAACCTGACTGTTGCGTCTTGGCGAGCCTGAGTCGTACCAGAAAGCCATTCGTGGGGTTTTCGCGCCGCGAATCAACGTAACTTGTGCGCCCGCGTAATCTTGAGTCTTTTCAATTTCTGGTACGTTGGTCATGGGGATGCACCGCATTCACATCTATACCCCTGGGTGGGTGTATACCCGTGGGTGGGTGTATGTGCGGCCGTTTTTGTGCTGTCATGTGCGCGCATGTGCGCGGCATGTGCCAGTCATGTGCCAGGCCTGTGCGGTCCTTCTTGGATGGACTTCCTACTGTGCACGTCGTGCCCGGGCATGTGCGGGGGCATGTGCGCTGTGTTTTGATGTATCCATCATACGCACATGCACGCACAGTCCGACGCACATGCGCGCACATGCCTGCACATGCGGGAGGTGTTCGAGAATCGCAGATCTGTCATCGGCACATGCACGCACATGCCTGTGCAACCTCTCCTCGGGAGGCCGCGCGGGCCCGCACATGCACGCACATGCGGTGAAGCTCGCGGGCGCACATGCGTGCACATCCCAATGCACATGCACGCTCATGCCCTAGGAGCTGTCTGGGACCCCTGTGCCTCCAATGCCTCCTGGCCTTCGCAGAGCTAACCTGGGGCGTGCCAGGGCTTCCTGAAAGAGTTTGTTGTGCGTTTAGACTCGCCCGCTGCTGGCGGGGGCGGTTATTCGCCCGGTTCGTGAGCTGTCGGTGGCGCGCCCGCCTAATAAAATACTCTCCCGCGCGCCTTCTCAGCTCGGCCGGAGAAGCAGGGATGGGGGGGGGGGAGGTGGATGGGGGGGGGAGGAGGGGGGGGCGGAGGAGGCGGGCGCCCCCGGCCACTGGCCAGCCTGCCTGTTCGGCTCGGCCAGGAGGAGAAGGAGGAGGAGGAGGAGGAGGAGGAGGAGGAGGAGGAGGTGAGAGTTGCGAGGCTGTCTCAGGCGAAAGTGGCTTGACGGCCCGAGCTCAGGGAATCTCGGAATCGCTGGCCTGGCTCGGCCACCGGCGAGCTCGGCCTGTGCGAATACTGCGCGTACCTGTGCAGTGCATGTGCGGGACGTGCAAGAATGCCGGGGCCGGCGTTCGTCTCCGGACGCCGGCGCGTTCGCGTCCGGCCAGTTCCGCGTGAGACGTCGTCGGCAATTTGGAGGCCGACGTGCTTTGACATGAAGTGATCTGGCCACCTTCGCCTGAGACATCCTCGCAACTCTGGTCTCGGAGATGCCCTGCCCCATGGTGGCCCGGCCACTTTCGCTTGAGACATCCTCGGGACTCTGGGTTTCGAGACGCCCTGAGCTGAGGTGGTTAGACCACTTTCGCCTGAGACATCCTCGCAACTCTGACCTCAGAGATCTCCTGCCCCATGCTGGTCAGGCCACGGTCGCCTGAGACATCCTCGCAAGTCTCGATTCCGATATGCCCCGAGCTGAGGTGGTCAGCCACTGTCGCCTGAGACATCCTCGCAACCCTGATCTCAATGATGCCCTGCTCGATAGTGTCTCGGCCCCTTTCGCCTGAGACATCCTCGGAACTCTGGGTTCCGAGACGCCCTGAGCTGAGGTGGTTAGACCACTTTCGCTTTAGACATCCTCGCCCGAGATGCCCTGAGTTGAGCTGTTCAGGCCACTTTTGCCTGAGACATCCTCGCAACTCTGACCTCAATGATGCCCTGCTCCATAGTGTCTCGGCCTTTTTCGCCTGAGACCCTCGCAACTCTGGGTTCTGAGATGCCCTGAGCAGGTGGTCAGGCCAGTCCTGCCTGAGACATCCTCGCAACTCTGGGCTCCGAGATGCCCTGGGCTGAGGTGGTCAGACCACTCTCCCCAGAGACATCCTCGCAACTCTGACCTCAGAGATCTCTTGCCCCATGGTGGTCAGGCCACTTTCGCTTGAGACATCCTCACAACTCAGACCTCGGAGGTGTCCTGCCCCATGGTCGTCTGGTCACCTTGACCAGCGACATCCTCGCCACTCTGGTTTCCAAGATGCCCTGCCCCATGGTGATCCGGCCACGCTTGCCTGAGACATCCTCGGAACTCTGGGTTGCGAAATGCCCCGAGCTCAGGTGGTCAGGCCACTATCGCCTGCGACATCTCTGCGGCATGTGCGGGCATGTGCGTCTATGCTTTCAGAGTTTTGCTTGACCGTGCATTCGACTGTGCGTCCGACGGTGTGGCATGTGCGCGCATGTACGGCAATGCTGTTGAGTTGTTTGTATATTTGCATGGGCATGTGCATGCGACTGTGCGGCATGTGCCTGCATGTGCGGCCCCTTCCGGACCACAATTTCAAAGTGAGCACTATAGAAGTGAGCGCTATAGAAGTGAGTCCGGTGTAGGTAAAACTCGTGTGAACTCTACAGTCGAATGTGCGCGGCGCTACGGCGAGAGCCACATATTGAAAAGGCACCGCCCTCAATCCGTGAAGCCCTGGCAATGTTTCGAACGAGTCTGCGCGGCGCCAAAGCGAGAGCCACATTTTGAAAACCACCCGCCCTCGATCCGGGAAGCTCTTGCAACTGTTAAAACTAATGTGCGCGGCGCTGGGGCGAGAACCACATGTTTACAAGGAACCGCCTTCAATCCTTGATACTCTTGTTCATACAAAGAACCGGCGGTGGCCGAGAGTCACCGTTTGGAAATCAATCGCCTTCAACCCGTGGTACGCTTTGTAAATTTTGAAAACGAATGTGCGCGGCGCTAAAGGCGAGAGCCACATTTTGAAAACCACCCGCCCTCTATCGTTGAAGCTGTTTCCACGTTTGAAGCTTCAGGATCATATATGGTGAGGAAGTCACAGGCACACCCTGAAACTGGCCTCGGGGTGCAATCTGGAGGAGTCATGTATAAGGAAAAGGAAAGGAGGACGACGACAACAACGATGACCACGACGGAGAGGCAACAATGACACCGCGGAGGAGGAGGAAGAGGAGGAGGAAGAGGAAGATGAGGAGGAACAGACGGGCAGTGAGGAGGTAGGGAGGAGGCGGAGAAGGCGGGATTAAGATGCCGAGGGACGGTTACGTATATACGTAGTGGCCTTTCGCACATTCCGCATGTGTGTTTGTGTCGCGAACAAGGAAGAGGCTCAACAGAGGCAGATGAGAGGGTCCCTTGCAACGCATGTTGGGGGATCCTGGACGTCTCTTTGGGTGTACCCTGCGGGCGATTCGGAGGCCTTTTGGGGGGGCTCTCGGGGGCCTCGGGGGCCCTCTTGGAGGCCTCTTGGGGGCCTGAGGCGGCCTTGTGGGACATACCAGAGTGTAGGGCCCCTTGAACCCTTTCGAGTTCCCCATCTTGGAGGCTCCCGTGGCTCACTGAAGGCCTCTTACGCTGTCATGGACTCTTCTGGAGACAGACAAGGCGAGGCTGCGACAAACCTACCACAACCGAATGTGCTCAAATGATATTGGCCTCTTGGGCTGGCCCCAGAGCCTCCAAGACGGCCCAGGAAGGCCTCAAAAGAGCGCCAGGACGGCCTCTTGGGCCATCTTGCGACGCGGGGGAATGGGGACTCCACCAACCACGCTCACGAGGCCTCGAGACAAGTCACGAATCAAGAACTGAGAGCGCCCAAACATTCCAAGACTTCTGCCTTGACGTGCTTGACCCACAGGTCCGTGACAAGCCGAGGCGTGCAGATGGGGGCCTCCAGCTTCGAGGTGGAACGTCCCGACGAGCGTTGAAGTCGACGAGCTCGATGTTTTTTCGTGGTCGATGTGAGAGTCGGCGTGGTGGGCGGCAAGGGGCCCTGTCCAGCGAGCCGTATGGTGGAACCACAATTGCACAACATTATGCTGCTGGGAGCTGTAGTGAGCATTGTTGCTAGAGATGCCTCATGGCTGGTCGTGGGTGACACTTGCATTACTGGGTAAACCGCCCTGCACTCTCGCCTTTTGTTCCTTTCGTCATTTCCGCACGCGCCTTGGTCGTGGATCTGCTGGTTTCCGTTGGAGCGTTGCTGGTTCCAATCCTCGGAGTGTTGTTTTCAGTTGCAGTTGGTGTTGGCCGTTTCGTCCTTATCTTTGTCATCGTCCTGCTTGCCGTCGTCGTCGCAATTGCGGGTGTGTCCCAGTAGATGGTCTCTCCATTCTGATACCGTTCATTCCACACATTGGTATTCTAGCATTTGGTGGAGCCTTTCTGATGTCGCTCGGTGGTCTTCTGCTCATTCCGGTGGTGGTCCTGCCGGCCCCCCTCGTAGATCTCTGGCCCTTCGTCGTCGTCGTCATCTTCGTCGTCGTTGCTGCGACGGTGGGCCGCGTTCGTCGGGATGGCGCTTCCACGCGCCTGGCACGCCACGCCGTTCGCCAACAGCGCAGCCCGAAATGGGTACGGAAAGAAAGGGTACAATGCCCAACAGCAGTTCCTGTTCATTTTGAGCAGGATTCGCTGTTCACGCCGCCGCGGCCTGTGTCCATTCGAGACAGAAGGCCGCCTGCCCAACAGCGGCCGCTGTTGGTTTGGGACAGCATTTGTTGTTGGGCATTGTACCCATTTTTTCCGTACCCCTTTCGGGCGTCCAAAAGACGGACCCCCGACCCCCTTCGGGGCTCAAGAGACGGAGGTCAATGCAAACGGGGTCAGCCAGAGCGCTGGATGTTGCAGGATCCTGCAGTGCCAGGTTTGAACTGACCCCGGTTTGGGTGCAGGATCCCGCAGGATCTTGCAGGATCTTGAAAAGCCTGACCGGGGCCTGGATTGTCCCGATTCAGTAGTTCCCCGACCCTTGTAATTGGCGTGGGTCTTGCAATTCATGTGTAGTTCTTGAGGAACAGAATGTTACACGAATAGGAGTTGTCAGAGGTCCGCGCTGATTTCTTTGATCGGCGCTGGAACCCCCCTCCTTGGCGCGCGGAGCGCGCCAGGGGCGGCGACAGAGGCGTCGCCAGGGGTCTCCAGCGTCGATCCAAGAAATCCGCGGGGACCCCCGAACGTTTATGTTTATGCCATTATTGGTTCCTCGAAGGTTGAATGCCCTCTCTTCCTTCCCCCCGCATCTGTGCCGATTCGTTTTTTCGTGCCCCGATCTGGCCGTACCGACCTGTGCGATCGTCGAGTCCCCGACAAAAGCGTACAGCCACGACGCCGAAATAAGGACCTCTTGGTGCTCGGAAGGGGCTCGCTGTTCCTTGGCCACCCCGTGGTCGCTCCCCGAGCACTCCTCGGGCACCCGGCACCCAGGTTCTTCTGGTGCCAAATGGGGACTTCGTCCCTTACCTTGCGTTCTTTCAGTCGACAGCCCGACGGCAGCTCGCGGTGCGGCTCCTGCAGCCCCCGGGTGCCCAACCCCTCGGTGCGCGGGCGTGGTCCCCACATCGCCGACGGGCACGAGGCTTCGACCCCCGTCGGGCGCCGCGCTGGCGGCCGTCGCGAGGGCCGAGGGCGTTCGCGGCTCTCGCAGGGAGATCTCGGGCAGTCGCGGCTCCTGCTCCTCCTCCTCCTTCTCCACCTCCTGCCAATGTTCGCTGTTGGCTATGGAATCGATCGCGACGCAGCCAACGCTCCTCTTCCTCCTCTCCTCCTCCTCCTCCTCCTCCTCCTCCTCCTCCTCCTCCTCCTCCTCCACCCCTCCTCCTCCTCCTCCTCCTCCTCCTTCTCCACCTCCTGCCAATGTTCGCTGTTGGCTATGGAATCGATCGCGACGCAGCCAACGCTCCTCTTCCTCCTCTCCTCCTCCTCCTCCTCCTCCTCCTCCTAATCCTCCTCCTCCTCTCCTCCCCTCCTCCTCCTCCCCTCCTCCTCCTCCTCCTCCTCCTCCTCCTCCTACCCCTCCCCTCCTCCCCCTCCCCCTCCTCCTCCTCCTCCTCCTCCTCCTCCTCCTCCTCCTCCTCCTCCTTCTCCCCCTCCCCCTCCTCCTCTGCCCCGCGATCCTCTTGGTGGGGACAGGCGACCTTTGCTGGCACCTGAGGAGGTCGGCTTCCAGACCCTCCCTCTGCTGTGCTCGCTTGGCGCGGGAGACCACCGCGGCGCTCGCCAATGCAGTGCGGTATCCTCCTCCCCCTCCTCCTCCTCCTCCTCCTTCTCTGCCCCCGCTTCTTCCGTCGCTGCGCTGTCGTCCGCCTTCATCTGCTTCGCATTGTTGTGTCTTGTTTTTCTTCTTCTTCCGAGGAGGAGGAGGAGAAGCATAATGAGGAGGAGGAGGAGGAGGAGGAGGAGGAGGGGGAGGAGAAGGAGGGGGAGGAGCAGGAGGAGGAGGAGGAGGAGGAGGAGGAGGAGGAGGAGAAGGAGGTGGATCGGGATTAGCAGGAAGAGGGGGAGGAGGAGTAGGAGGAGGAAGAGGAGGAGGAGGAGGAGGAGGAGGAGGAGAAGGAGGACGAGCAAGAGGACGAGGAGGCGGAGGAGAAGAACGATGAGGAGGAGGAGGGTGGAGGAGGAGGGGGAGGAGGAGGAGGAGGAGGTGCAGAAGGAGGAGGTGGAGTAATCATAATGATAGTCTGTGTAGGCATAACGGTAATGATGGAGAAGAAGGAGGAGAAGGATACTCATCATAGAAGGAGGAGGAGGAGGAGGAGGAGGAGGAGGAGGAGGAGGAGGAGGAGGAGTGCGCGTGCAGTCTCCCCGCGGACGACCCTCGGCCGAGGCCCCCGCGGAGGCGCAGGAGGGCCCCCCCCTCCCATCCCGAGGGCCCCACGAGGCTTCGAGCCCCGACGGCGGCGGCGTTGGCAGCGGCGGCGCCGACGGCGGCGGCGGCGACGTCGACCACGGCGGCGGCGGCGACGGCGACCACGGCGGCGGCGACCACCGCGACGGCGGCGACCATGACGGCGGCGGCCAGGTCGGCGACGGCGGCGACCACCGTGCGCTCAGAGGACGCGCTCCGTGCCCACGGCGCCTCTCGGTCGCGCGGCACCTCGACCGCGTCGGGCGGCACGGCGGGCGCCGACCAGCTAGCCGAGGCGCGCACGCCCCGCTCGGACGCTGATGACGAGGGTCGAGGATCGACGTCGACGCTCGACGATCGGCGATGGAGGGTCGAGGATCGAGGACAACGGCGATCGGACGACGACGATCGAAGATCGAGGGTCGAAGCTCGACGTCGACGCTCGACGATCGACGATGGACGATGGAGGGTCGAGGATCGAGGACAACGGCGATCGGACGACGACGATCGAAGAGGGTCGAAGCTCGGAGTGGCTGGACCTTGCGCAGACGGCCAGAGGCCTTCTGAGCCTTTTGAAATGGCCCGCCCCCTCTGCCTGCACCCCCGGGGCACGCCGCGAAAGTACAGTCAACCCGCATACATAGTAAGGATGGGCAAGGTTACCCTTGCATCCTTCCACTTCGGCCCATCCTCGGCCGCTTTCGCTGCCCGCGCCCCGCTCGCAAAGTGCCGACATGGCCTTCCAAGGCCCTCGCATCCTGATTGTGCGTCCTTACTATATGGGTTGACTGTACGGAGCCTCCCGAAGTGCCGACCCCTTCCCCAGGGCCGGCTCTTCATCCCGAGCCGCCTCTTGACGGCCCCAGGGCCCGTCGAGAAGAACCCAGGAAGGCCGCAAGCGGCAAACAAAAAACGCCCTGATGTTTGCCAATGCGTTAGAGGTCAGGTTAGCGTCGGCGTCGGCGTCGGCGTCGCTGCCGGCCGCGCCGGGAGCGCCTGCGACCCAGGAGTCGTCGTTCGTCGTCGACGTTGGCGTCGTTCGTCGTTCGTCGGCGCCGTCGTCGGCGTCGACGTTCCTCGTCGACGTTCCTCGTCGTCGTCGTTCGTCGTCGTCGCCGTTCGTCGTCGTCGTTCGTCGTCGTCGTCGCTGCCGGCCGCGCCGGGAGCGGCGCCCGCACGGGTCCGAGAGGTGCGCGGCGGGGCTTGCTGCGAGGAGCCAGCCGGCGCCGCCAAGGCGGGCCTCGACAGGCGCCCAGCCGCGCCGCCCGCTCAGTGCCGTTTGACCGGTCCCCGTGCCCATGTCGGGGGAGCGTAAGACCCGGGTTTGCCAGGACTCGGGTTCGCCATCGTTTTTTGACGACCGCGCCTCGGATTTTGACGAGGAGGAGTGTTGTGGGATGTCTGCAGCGGGAGGCCTCGTCAAAATGCAGGCTCGGCCTCGTCATTTTTTTGACGACCTCGCCGGGGATTTCCGAGTCCCCCGTACCCGGGTCTTACGTCTCCCCGACCATGCTCAGCCCGAGCCCCACCAACTCACGACCCGGCAGCGAGCGAGGGGGGCACGTGGGAAGAGGGAGGCCTTCTCCTTTGGCGGCGGGGCTCCTCAGAAGCCATCGTGTGTTCTGCGAACTGTTGGGCGTCTTCGGGGAAGGCCTAGAAAACTTCTCAGAAGGCTGGGGGACTTCCGAGCCTTTGAGAAGGCCCGCCCCTTCCCTTTTCCCCTCTCGCTCGCCGCCGAATCACCCCAGTTGGGGACAACCCGAGGAGGTCTTCTGATTGTGGTCCCCCCCTGCTGTTTCTCGCGGCGGGGAATACACTTCGCCTCCTCCTCCTCTTCCTCCTCCTCCTCGTAGTAGTCGTCGTCGTCGTCGCAGATTCCAACTATTGGGTGGTGGTTCTAAAGACTTCTCGTGTTTAGCCCCTCGAATCTCGAACGACAGCCTCCATCCCCAGCTAGCTGGGTCAATCGGGACCAAGGCCACTCCGGTGGGGATAAATATCGGCGAAACGATCCTCACCCGCGGTTGAAAGGCGGACGTTTCTTTAGGCCTCCCAGATGGGGTCCGAGAGGACGTTCAGATGGCTGAGTATGTGTCGAAATCGGCTTGTGTTAATAACTGGCTGGAAATTCATTGAATTTTTCTGGCCAGTTGCCCTTGCTGAGATGCGTTGTTTGGATTCTGAATTCAGGACGGGAGGGTCGTCCAAGACAGAAGTAGTTTAGAAGATGTGTCGTAAAAGGGCGGGTGGCGTGAAGCGGCCGAAACAACACCCCAAACAGGCCCCAAACAGAGGTTGCGCCGCGCGGCCTGGGCCCCGCTTTTCAATACACCACTATTTTGACACTTTGCGTTTCCCAAGTTGGGGTCGGAGGATCACGCCGCATCGCCGACACATCGGTGATGCGGTTCGATGTGGAGCCCGATTTCTCAACGCCGACGTCGCATCTGTGATGCATCGGCGAACCGCTGCAATCCTCGGTCCCCATCTACTCGGACCCAATCTAGGAGCCTCTATTCTAGCAAAGCGGGGGGCGACAACATGTCAGAGCCCCGAGTTATCAGGGCCATGGGTGGTCAGGGGTAGCTCCCTATGGGGCCACGAAGCGTGTGAGGGCTGTGCCGGCGTGGGTGGCGGTGACGCGTGTGGGCACCGCACCTGGGACCTTCGGTGGAGCTCCCTATGGGGCCACGCAACGTGCGAGAGGTGTGGCGAAACGCCATGCGAACCCTGCCATTGGGACCTTCGGTTGATTTTCCTATTGAGCCACGAAGCGTGTGAGAGGACTGTAATGAGCGATGACGGTGATAATGTGACGGTGCTGGTAATGAAGATGAAGACGATGATGATGACGATGATGATAACGATGAGGAGTAGGAGGATGTTGATGATGATGAGGATGATAATGATGATGATGTTGATGATGTTGACGATGATGGTGTTGATGATGCTATTTATGCTGATGCTGATGCGGATGCTGATGGTGCCATTGATGCTGATGATGCTGATGATGATGATGGTGGTGGCGGTGATGATGATACTGATGAGGATTATGACGCTGGTGGTGATGCTGATGATGATGCTGATGATGCTGATGATGCTGAAGATGACCATGATCATGATGCTGAAGATGATGCTGCTGATGATGATGATGATGCTGATGCTGTTGCTTATGCGGATGAAGAGGATGAGGATGATGATGCTGATGATGTTGACGATGATGATTATGCTGATGATGATGATGATGATGACGATTTGGATGGTGCTGTTGATGATGGATGATGATGATGCTGATACTGATACGGAAACTGATGCTGATGCTGATGATGGTGATGGTGATGCTGGAGGTGCTGATGATGATACTGCGGCTGCTGATGATGAGGATTAGCATTAGGATGAGGATGATGAGGATGCTTATGATGATGGTGAATCTGCTGCTGAGGTTGCTAGTGATGATGATGATGCTGACGATGGTGATGATGCTGATGATGCCGATTATGATGATTATGATGATGCTGATGGTGACGATTAATAGTACGAGGTTTGACGATGATGCTGATGATGACGATGCTGCTGCTGATGATCATGCTGATGCTGCTCATGATGCTGCTGATGCTGAGGACGAGGAGGATGTTAATGCTGATGACGATGCTGATGATGGTGATGATGCTGACGATGCTGATGATGATAAGGAATCTGGTGGTGATGACGATGCTGATGGTGATGATTAATAGTACGAGGTTTGACGATGATGCTGATGATGACGATGCTGATGCTGATGATCATGCTGATGCTGCTCATGATGCTGCTGATGCTGAGGACGAGGAGGATGTTAATGCTGATGATGATGCTGATGATGGTGATGATGTCGCTCACGATGTTGATGATGATAAGGAATCTGGTGGTGATGATGATGATGATGGTGATGGTGCTGCTGCTGCTGCTGCTGATGCAACTAATGATGATAATGCTACCGCTGCTGATGCTGATGAGGATGAGCATTATGGTGAATATGAGGAGGATGCTGATGATGATAATGATGAGGATGAGGATGAGGGTGATCATGACGCTCATGCTGATGATGATGCAGATGCTGATGATTGTGATGATGCTGGTGATGATTTATGATGGTGATGATCCAGATGATGATGCTGATGCTGATAATGTTGATGATGATGATGATCATGACATGATGATGCTGCTGATGGTGATGGCTGTGATGATGCTTACGATATGATGCTAATTATGAAGATGATGATGCGGATGTTGCGGATGAGGATGTGGATGAGGATGATGATGATGATGATGATGATGATGATGATGATGATGATGATGATGCCGTTGATGATGATTAGGATGTTGATGTTGCTGCTGCTGATGATGATGATAATGATGGTGGTGGTGCTTGTGCTGACGACGATGATACTTCTGATAATGATGCTGTTGATGCTGCTGCCAGTTGCTGCTGATGATTTCGATGGTGACGATTCTGATGGTGGTGGTCGTGATGATGATGCTGATGATGATTATGATGATGATGATGCTGATGATGTTGATGATGTTGATGGTGTTGAGGTTGATGACGATGATGGGAGAAGGGGGGGAGGAGGGAGGAGGGGGAGGAGGAGGAGAGGAGGAGGAGGAGGAGGAGGAAAGGAGGAGGAGGAGAGGAGGAGGAGGAAGGACGGAAGGAAGGAAGGAAGGAACGCGGGGCGCTGTCTGTTCAAAACGAGGACCCAACACAACAGGAGGGTTGGGGGAAAACACCCAGCGCAATGGGAAGGGGCGGGCGGGAGGGGTAGGATGTCTGATGTAGCGCGAACACACCCAGCTTGTCATTATCCTTCCTTCGCTCATCATCCTCTCCTCTCCTCGCTCTCTCCCTCCCTCCTCCTCCCCCTCGTCCGCGCACTCATCCCAGTGCTCCCCCCTCCCGCCCACCAAACAGCAATACGTTCCCCGCCACTCCCCGCGCCCCCTCCCTGCCAATCCCCGCGCCCCCCCCCTCCGCCCCCCCCCGCCCTCCCCTCCCCCGCCGCTCTCCGTTTCCGCTCCCATGCGCCCCTCCCCTCCTTGCCCTGCCGCTCCCCCCCCCCCACCTGGCAGCGGCAGGCGCTTGGCCGCCCTTGTCTCGATGGCCCGGTCAGGCACGCCGCAGGACCGCCGCGCGCGGGGCGGGGGTGTCCGTGGGCTGCGGCTGACAGGGAGGGAATCGGAGAGGGAGAGAGTGAGGGAGGGGGAGCCGGATAGGGAGGGAGGGAGGGAAGCGGGGAGGGAGGGAGGAGGGCGAGGGAGACCGAGAGAGAGAGAGAGAGTGAATGAGTGGGTGAGCGAGTGAGTGAGTGAGTGAGTGTGGGAGGGGGGTAGAGTGAGAGAGAGAGGGAGTGAGAGAGAGAGAGAGAGAAGGAGGGAGGGAGGGAGAGAGGGAGAGAGAGTATGCGTCTGCTCGGACAGCGAGGTTATCCTGTCGCAGATGATGGTTTTCCAGCGAGCCTTCGGCGTCCCGCCCGTTGGGTGCAAGGACGACCTGCGCAACGCGTACCACCAGGTCGGTCGCCGCCGCGACCTTGTTCGGGTGGTGCAGCTTTTCTGGCACCCACAGGAGAAGCAAGTGGTAGGGCGCGATCTGCTTTCGTAAGATTTCGGCGCGGGCTGCGCCGTGACGAATGCAAATGTGGTGTTCTGGAGTTTAAAGGACATCCTCAACAAGTGTTTTTTCGTTAACTCCGATAATTTGTTCGACGATTTCTGGTTGTGGGACCCCCCTGGTGTGCAGCCATTGCGCGCGTTGTAACCAGGGAGTTTTTGAACACCTTGGAGTACGGGGTGAACGCAGCTGTGAAATGGCCCTGCTTGGTCTTGTATTCACCTCCTGCGAGGAAGGCCCGCGCGTCGGCAACCGCAGTTGCCGGCGCGAGACGTTGGCGCAGGAATGCGAAGAGTTGGCTCGCGCCCGCCCGCTGGCCAGTGCAGCGTCGACGTGTGTAGGGAGGCTCGTTTTTGCGTCGCGCGGCCTTCATGGCAAAGCTGGCGCGCACGCCAGGCGGCCGCTATTTGAAACGTTAGGGAGTACGGATGCAATCCAGAAGGCTGGCACGTGGCCGCCGCCCGTGCAGGTAGTTTTGCACCTTTGGGCGGCCCTGCTGCGCAGTGGCCCGCCGCGCGTTGTGCCGCTGCTCCCGACTGGCGTTCCGGTCGCACTGCTTGACGGCGACGTAGCCCTCACCCCGAAGGGGGCAGCGGCCCTCTTCGTCGCTCCCGGCCGGCCAGAACACGCGATTTGGCTTCAGCGTTGTCCTGCCCCCGCCCGCGTTGGCAACCTTATAAAGCCCTTGTGAAGAGCACGCCATCAATGGCGCACAGGCGTGGTGGATTACCAAATCATTTGAACTGTGGGTCGACCGGCTGCGCTCGCACTGCGTGTTCTGTTTTGGGGACAATATGGCGGCCATCAGTGGGTGCACCAATGGACATGCCAAATCCCCACATGTAGCGAGTGAGGTGGGGGCTATCCACGAATATGTACATACTCAATCAAATGCGCTTGGCCCGGCATCGCGCGACGACGGCGAAGCCGCGCTTCGCAGGCTCGGGGCGAAAGGGGCGACTGTCTCGTCGACGCTTTCGGTGAACCTTGGCCGCTGCCACGGAGTGCAAGCCGGCGCGCGTGCAGCAAAAGAAATGTCGTGTCTCGTCGCTTCTCTGATCCTCCCCCTTCCGTCCGCTTCCGCCCGCCCCTCCGCCCCCCCCCCTTCTTCCCTCCCCCTTTTCCCCTTGCTGCCGCCCCTATCTTGGCCCTTCCCCGCCCCCCTCCGTTCCCGAATGGTGTGGGGGGGGGGGGGGGCGGGTCCGCGCGGCGTGCCTGCCGACTTCAGGAGGACCGCCGCTGCCCGTTCTTTTACATATATATATATATATATGTATATATATACATATATATATATTATATATATATATATATATATATATATATTATGTCTCTCTCTTTTTTTTTGGGGGGGGGCCCTCCGTGCTGCGGACATAACGCGTCGCACCTGCGCATGATTGCTTGGGCGAGCGAATTGTTGCGGGAGCCCCCGCTGGGCTGCTCGGTTCAGCGCGTTCGTAGAGTTCCTGCAGTCTGCGCGCGTGCCTCCACGCAGCGCGGGTGGCTGAACGCATAGGCCCTGGCGCACCAGGGTGCCGGCGTTTCCTGGCAAGGCGATCGGGGCGTCATCTTGCGCGGGATTCGATTGGGCGCGGCCAAGAGCTGGGCCCCTCGGCTCCCCTGGCCCCGCGTGGACCGACTGCTGTTGCGGCGATTGCTCCGCTTCGCGCTGTCGCGCCAGCGTCGGCGGCGGTGCGTCATTGCAGCGCTTGCTCATGATCTCCCGTTGCGGATGCCATCCGAGCTGCGTGCGCAGTGCACGCGCGCTTGCGCGCAGTGGCAGGGCGGTCGGTCCGCGTGCGGGCCGATGCGCCACAAGCAGCGGGCCGACTTGCGCACGCCTGTCGCTTCTCGCACTTGCGGGGTCGATGAGGGCATCTGCTTGCACGCGTGGCTGCCCGTCTGGGACGAGTTCCTCGGGGTCGGGGGCCGCCCGTTTGGCGGATGCACCCATGAGACATGGACAGCCGAGCTCCGTTGTCATTTGCGCGAGGTCCGGGTCGCTAATTACGAAAAGTGGTTTGGCCACGACGTCCCGCGGGGCGCGGCCGCTTATGTTTTCGCCGCGTCGGGCGTGGAAACCATGCTCCCACGAGGTGGTTGCGGCTGGTGGCTTCAGCCAGGCCGTGCGCGTCGGGCGACGAGGTGGCCGCCAGCCTGCTGGCGCAGGGCGTCGTCGACGATTCTGGCTTTGAAAATTAGGCACCGCAGTGCCCCGCTCCTGTGCCAATCCTCCTGTTT